GTGAACGGACGATTCGGAACATAGCCTCCAATGTCCAGCTCTTTGGTACGACGAAAGCGCCAGCAAACCGTGCTGGACGGCGGCGACGTATAACCCCAACCATGCTTACTGCCCTTTGCGAACACTTGATAGAGAAGCCTGGATTGTACCGCGATGAAATGGCTGTTTTCCTATGCGATGAGTTCGGGGTCCTTATTTCCGTCTCCAGCATCGGCAGAGCTTTGGCATCCATCAAATGGACCAAGAAGGTCATCCGACGCATAGCTAACGAACGCAACGCCGAGCTCCGAGATTTCTACATGCATAAGCTGTCCGCTTTCCGCTCGTACCAACTCGTGTACGTGGACGAGTCTGGATGTGACAAGCGAATTGGTTTCAGACGCACAGGCTGGTCTCCGCTTGGAGTAGCACCAGTCGAGGTAACCCGTTTCCACCGGGATCGTAGGTATCAGATTCTACCAGCGTATACTCAGGACGGTGTTCTTCTCTCTCGAGTTTTCCAAGGAACAACTGACGGTGATCTGTTCGAGGACTATATAGAGCAGCTTCTTCGCCATTGCAGGCCATATCCGGAGCCTAACTCTGTTCTCATCATGGACAATGCTTCATTCCATCACAGCGAGCGAATCGAACAAATGTGCCGTGACGCTGGCGTCAGGTTGTTGTATCTGCCGCCGTACTCACCAGATTTCAATCCAATCGAGGAATTCTTTGCAGAGCTCAAGGCGTTTAATAAGAAGCAGTGGCATGAATACGAAAGCAGCCCGCATCAAAACTTTGAGGCCTTTCTTGAGTGGTGTATCAGTGTTGTAGGTGGCAGGGAAGACAGTGCAAAAGGGCGCTTCCGGCATGCAGGCGTCACGGTCGAGGAATTCAAAGAGGGATAAGGTAGCATAGTATCACTACAATATAAGAAGAGAGTTCATTGCCATAATCCAAAACAATACCGCATAATTAGAGCTCAGTGTCAGCCTTGTACCGTTTAACCCATCTCTCAATGTCCGCAATAAAGCGTCGTGCCACTCCCCTCTTCACTCCACTTTTGATGAAAAAGCCTGGATCTTGATCTTCATAGATCTGCTCAAGATCTAGCCCATCTTCTAGCGCCAAATCACACGCTTTCTGGATCTCTGCCTTTCGCGTTTTGTCAACGACTCTGGACTGCTGCCATTGGCTATAAAGTTTCACCGCCGCATCTAAAGGTTCTGGGATATCGAGATCAATCATTGTAGACGAGTTGACAATAGGAGTTGCTAGATTCCCTGGGCCGGCCGAGGGCGATTGGTGGGAAGAGGGAAGTACATTCGTAATATTTATAGGTGGGAAAGGCGTGGGGGCGCTGGCTGGCTGTTGGGGCACTCTCTCAAGCCGTTCCTGTTCTTCGGCAAACAGCTGCTCCCTTATACTATCAGGAACGTCATCTTGGCTACGCAAGATATTTCCCTCCTCGACAAACTTTACAAGAGCCTTGAGGTGTTGCGTCCGCAGCTTGTAGTGCTTCTTCCCCGAGGGATCACGCCAGCAATAAGGACCTTGACTGCAGGGAGGACCAGGACACAGCATCAAAGCATAAACTGCCTTCCAAGTGTCTGACTGAGAAGTACCTTCTTGTTCTGAGTCCGGCTGTGCGGTATCCATTTCAGCAAGCATTCGCTGCGTGGCCGAGGAACCTCGTTTATTCCCTCGTCTTTGCGTATGAACCGACTTTGAATACGAATCTGTATAGTTGAAGGAAAGATTTACTCGAAGTTTCTTACCGGACCGAAACAGCTCACCCCACCTAATAAACTGTTTCTCTACCAAGGACCAGTCGATGTCTAGATCTTCAAATCGCTTAACTAAGTCGCGTTCGGTGCGGTCCGTCACCGACACAACCATGCTAGTGTCATCACACTGAATATGCCTATTCTGAGCTACCTTCTTACGCAGCAGCTTCTCAAGCTTGGGCTTCAGAATCATGTGCCAGTATGCGCCAGGTACCAACACTAGGTCTTGCTCCGAGTCCTTGGACAAGATCCTATTATTTATCGACACCTTCCACTCGATCGAGTAATGAAGACAGGTTGGCTCATCTTCATCGTAGGTATTGTGCTCGTCCCACTCGGCCAGCTGAAGGAATTGGAGCTTTTGCTGCTGTATCGGTTGGGCGGTGCGTGACGAGGACTGGCCGGCAAGAGGTTGCGGGTTCGTCGGGCGCACATCGTCGATTTGTGGTTCTGCTTCGTCAAACTCGCTGATAGGGTCGGATAGGAAGAAATCTTGGAAGGGGAAAGGGCTCGTCATCGTGCTGTAAGCGTGTCAGTCGGCAGCAGCGTTTGGAAGGGAGAGTCTCCCAAGACAACGCTCGAGAGTCGAAGGCGCACATCAGTCGAAGGTGCACAGCGGACTCATTCGAGACCCGGCGCTTCGCAAAACGTCTCTAAATTTAGTACCAACAGATCTTGCATGAGGGATCGAGGAAAGCGTGCCTGGGCGTGTCATGGACCTGGAAATGGGCCTGGAAATGGGCCCTTTGTGGCTTGTTCAGAGTGTGGCTAGTTCACCGCGCGCAAGCCCCAATCACCAAGCACAGAAGCCAGTTTTGGGGATGCACCACATCGATGACAAAGTTGAATTGATTTGGTGAAAGACCGTAGCCCAGATAGGAGAATGAATATTAGTATCTGCTAGCATTATCAGGAGAAATTGAAATTGGCTGTTCCGTTATTGACGTATCCAGGCATCACATTGTGACCAGAGATCGGACCGTTGAACACAGGGCCGTTGTACTGAGCTCCTCTACTGTCGTTCGCGGTTGATGCTTCCACCGCCTCTTCGGAATTCAAGCCACCACTTACATGCTCATCGATCCATCTCTTCAATACAGCTCGAACCTGCCCATATCCCTCATCTGCTCTTCCGGTGAACTTGGTCATATTCCGATGATCTGCATTGATGCTGCAACTGTCGTATCCAGCCAAAATTGCGGACTCGCGTTCCACAATTTTCCCAACCGTGCCGTTCATCATGACAGCCTCGTAGAAACAAAATACTTTGATCTTGATGCCATCTCGGCGCAGTATGTGCTGAAAATCTTCTTCAGTTCGCTGCAGGTCTGAGGAGCCAGGCTGTAGTGTATTTAATATCTCCTGATTCGTACCGCGGAAAATATTTACGTATTTCGTGACAGTCTTTCCCCAGCTTGCCAAATATGAGCCTCCATGAGGTGTGCCCATAAAGACAATGCCCAGAGTGTTGGCGCGAATTGAGTTCAAAGACTGCCGCTTGTCGCTAAGATTCAGCGCCTCTTCACAGACTAAACCCCCGAGGCTATGGGCAACGAATATGATCGGGCGCTGGCCGACTTGCTCTCGCTGATCGAGAAGCGCGTAGACTAGCGACTTGCCATGATCGTCCAATCGGTTCGAGCTTGCGAGGGTCCAGAAGCGGACAACATCGGCGTCGTATCCGAATGTCATGATGCGGGCACGAAGTAAGTCTTCTGAGAGGAGAGCGCGGGGCCAGAAAGTCCCGTTGCGGTGGGTCCAGGTCTTCTCGCGGTTGCCAGTGAGTCCGTGGACGAAGACAATACTGAGCCGCATGTCAGCTTAAATGAACCAGTTTACCGTAGGTAAGGCTCTTACTCGACAACCGCATCCGACGGATCAGTGACAACTTTGATCCCTGTCGGTCCGTCCGTCGCATACCTTTACTACCGTGAGCAGCGAGCGGAGTTCCCGGAGGTTACCTACAGCTCGTTGTCAGGAACCGTATCAAGTCCAGTGCTGACTTCAGTATGAGAAGGTCCAGAATATACTAGCCCCTTAATCCAAGACATGTTGCAAGTAACTTTGACGACGAGAACTAACCTGCAAGTTCGTTGATAGACTACGTCAGTTGGTGAGACGCTGTGAAAATAAGACGGTTGAGGCTGGCTGGCTTATCTGCGACTGAGCCGCTGCTAAGAAGAGCTCGCATCACCAACCGCTAGCTCTCCGCGCTTCAGGCCTGCTTTTCGCGTAGTAAAGGCCTAATTCTAACATCACATCTGACAAAAAGCATGCAGTGACCGAGTGATTTGAATGCGGCCATTAACGGCCACAACGTCATTGCGGGGCCTTATACCGCAGCTGGCGGGACAATGAACTTCAACTTCAGCGGCTGCCCTGCAACGCATGGTACGCCCACTAAGCAGTTAAAGAGCATTCATACCAACACCAGTGTATAGATAGACCGAGCTGAAAACGATACCCTTCTCCACCGTCCCGTTCCCCCTGGACCCTGAATTCGTTGATCGCCCCGACATTCTAGCGTGGATTCGTGACAAGTGTGCCTGACCAGGCACTCGCGCAGCCCTTATCAGTCTTAGCGCTATAGGGTATTTCAACGTCACGTTTCTCACGATTAGGCTAATAGTAGGATAGGAAGTCGTAAATAGCTATCCGGTACTCCCACGACGTCCGCGATGCGTTGCCGCAGACTTTCGTATTTTGAGCGTACGCCAGTACACGGGCCCGATTCGAAGAAGCATACAGAGACATTACCGACAGGCTTGAGATTCCGGGGCGGGAGAATCTGAAGGCCGACGTTTTACAACTGGTCCACAATTGGCTGTACGACGAGATAAACGGCTAATGGATAATAGTCCTTAATAATGTTAACGATATCGAGACATTCTTCCTATCGCGAAAGCGTAAGCAAGATGAGCTATCTGGAAGACCGTTGGCGTCACTGGCGGCATACCTACCTCAAAGCCGTAACGGATCAATCCTAATCACCTCACGGAATAAGGATGCGGTATCTAAACTGGTAGGAGGTTACAACAACATCAAAGAGGTTCGCGCAATGGACGAAAGCCAAGGTCTACAGCTCTTTCGGAATAAGCTCTAGGATGCAGCCAAGGAAGAAGGTGCTACTAATCTTCTCTATATGCTAACGAGCGTAAGCAACCTAGCAGGCGTACTAAGAGTCTAAAGAAATTACGGTGAGGCCGAGAAGTTAAACCGCCGAGCGCTGGAAGGAGGGAGAAGGAGCTGGGAGTACAGCACCCCTCCACGCTCACTTCTGTTTACAATCTTACCTACCTTCTACATAAGCAGAGGTGATATCCTGAGGCAGCAGAACTCTATGAGAGAGCCTGCGGGGGCTATCAGCAGAAGCTCAGATCTAAGCACCCAACAACAATTGCTTGCTTCAAGAACTATGTAAGAATATAACAAGAGGTCGAGCATGATTGACTAGGCTCAAGTAGAGCGTTAGTTAATGACGTTAAATCGACGCTCATAGAGGGATCGTCTCGCGGTGCTATAACTTCAAGCAGTACGCCTAAGCTAGCAAGCAGTATTAGATAAAGAGCAGAGAAAAGCTCCCTTTCTGTACACATCAAATCAAGGATACGGAGTAGAGATTGATAGAATGGAAATGGTGTTCATCCTATCGCTGTTGTAAGCTAACTTCGTCTTCAAGTAACCTTCCAGGCAGTTTGAGAAGAAAATGATATAATGTATATTTATCTGAGGCAGCAACGGTTTAGCAAAGCATTAGCGCGTTATGTAATAATTTCAGCGCCATAAATTACGCAGCACCCCTGTAATGCGCTAATACGAAGTAAGAAACCCCCTTATAAGAGGGGACCGTGCGATAAGAACTAATCAGAGTCCTAACCGGAAACCAATTCTGCTCGCGACTGTATTAGGGCCTATGCATTCAATTATTTTCATCTTTATTTCCGCGAAATTTAATATTTGGGCGTCCGTTTACGACCTTCTAAGATGTAAAAACCAAATTTGGGAACCAAGCGCCGAATTGGGATCCAGCGCGAAACGGGAACACAAAAACCAAATCTAAATTCATAGAAACTGTTCTGAAAGGGCTCTATGGACTGGTCCCCTCCTACTACAGTATTAAAAAAGACTTTAAAAACTAAATTTAAAAAAGTGGGGGTTGCTTAAATATAAAACTAAATCCACATTCTACGCACCTTACTGTCTTTATTTAAAATTTAAAGTTAATTTTTATTTCTTTAAAGTAGTAAAGTTATATAAAGCTAATAGGCTACTACTTAGAGCGTAATAGTTATATCTTTAAAGTAATTATAGATATTTATATAATTAAAATTAAAGCAGGCCGCAAATAAAAATTTCTAAAAATAAGTTAAAACTCTTAGTAGTAAATTTACTAAGCTATAATAAAATTACAAGACAGACATATATTTTCTCATATATTATAATAGTTAATTTTATATCTATTTATCTATAGATAATGTTTTATGGTTTTTAAGTTTAGAAACTTTTATAAACCTCTCTTATTTTCATATTCTACTGAGACTAACTTTTATTTTAAGAGTAAATTATATTCTCCGCTAATAAAAAAGTTACTAGCCTATTTTCACTAAATTAAATATAAATAAGTGAAGGTGAATTTCCGTAAAGTAGTTTTATATAAAAGCTTATTAATAAACTTTAGTTTAACCTTAGTAAAAGTAGATTTAAGTACGTGATTAAAAAAATATAATCACATAACAAAATATTTAGCAGTTAGGAGAATGTTTAATTTATAATTTATTAATTATTACTTTAGTTTTTACTTTCTAGTATTTATAGGCAGAGTAGGGTTCTTTCTTTACTCTTCTTTAATTAAATCTCTAAAGCTCTAAGAACTTAAATCTTTTTGTTTATACTAAAATTATAGTATAGCCCTTTCTAGGTATAGTCTTATACTTTTTAAATATTTATTAATAAGCTTTAGCTTGATATTAGTATAAGTAAATTTAAGCACATAATTAGAAAAATATTATTACTTAATAAATCTTTTTAGTTAAGACTAGATCTACTAACTTATTACTAATTAACATATAAATATAGTATAGGGATTAATAATAGAAATCTAAATCTAATATACTTTCTTATAGTAAATAATACTAAAATAAAAGAGCATTTTATTTAACTATTTTCTTCTCTTTTATTTTAAGTAAAATATATCTTCTTTCTCTTAAGTTTTATTACTCTTTTTTTAATTCTTTCTTTATTTATTTTCTTAGTTTGTTTTAATTTTTTCCGTCTTACTACAGCAAATTTCCGCTTTAACTTTTTTAATAATATTTTTTATTTCTTTTATATTACTTTTAAAGCTGTTAAGCTGATTATATATTTTCTTTAGATAATATAATAAATAGCTATTATTTTATTTAAGGCTACTAATTCTTATATCTTATTAAATAAGTTTTTATTTAAGTTAATTAACTAAGGTATTTATTCTTACGTCTAATAGAGTAAGCTATACTCTAAAGAATTTTAAAAAAATTTACTAAGCAGCTTATATAAAGACAACTGCTTTATCTTATAAGATAAGTATTTTATAACTTTTTTTTCTAAATTTATTTTACTACTCTTTAAATTACTTTTGCGTTTTAGTGCTAATTAGATATCTATTTTATATTAAAAGCTAACTAAATAAAGTATACTAATTATTATATACCTGTTTTATTATAGTAATTACTTTATTTAAGCTGTTAAGTTTTACTAAAAGTAAAGTACTCTAACACGGTTAGTAGTTTTCTAAAAGGTATATAATATTCTTATATACTATATTCTAATATATAATAAGGTTCTTAATTATAGTTTTTAAGTTACTTATTTTTAAGATAAAAAGAGCAGCTAATAGGATTTTAGAGAATAAATAATTTAAATAGTGTTATTTTAAGAGATATAAAGTCCTTTTATATTTAGCTTTTTCTATAACTTAGCTGATAAAATAGCTTAAGATAAACTCTTTATACCTTAAACATATAATATATTTATATAAGCTATATTAAGGTTATGGTTATAGTAAATAAATAATTCTTTTCTTTCCACCTACTTTAACTGTACCTTTATAGGATGTTATACTAATTAATAAGGTATAGTATTAGTTTTTTTTTTTAATACTAGAATAAATATTTACATATAGCTAGTCTAATATTACTTTTTATAATAATATTTACTTAGTTTTTTTATTATACTTATGCTTTTATATACCTTTTTATATTTTACCCTAGTACTATAAAGTTTAGATCTATATAGCTAAAGCTATCTTCTTATATTATAAACTCTATATTTATTAGAATAAGTATAAAGCTAGATTATATAGATATCTTAACTAGAGCTTTTATAAACACTTATATATTTTTAAAAACCCTTTATTAAGTATTTTATAAAACTAATTTTAGTAATTTATTAGTTTTTATTATCTATATCTAAAGCTCCCTATTTATGTAAAACTTAAATATTTTAGAGTCTATATAAACTTTATCTACTACTAAAGTATATAATATTTAATATAATTTCTATTTTTATACTATTTTTATATAATAGATATTTACTAGTAGCTACGCCTTAACGTTATATACTAAAGTATATTTTTATAAACTTTCTAATAATAAAGCTACTAGGCGTTTAAGATTACTAATAGAAGAATATAATCTAATTAACTTATAACCTTAGCTTATCTCTAGTACTGGTGATACTAAATTATAGGTAATATAAATATTAGTAAGCTTTTATAGCTATTAATATAAACTTAAATTTACTTATAGTATCTGATAGCTTTTTCTACCAGGTCCTTAATATCTTACTTTAGTAATATAGAGAATAGATATAAGTAACTAAAGCTATCTCTTTATTCTATATACTTTATATCTATAAGGTAGTTTTTATAGTATCTTTCTTTCTTATTATATAACTACCTATATACTCTAGAGACTTATTTATGTTTTTTATAAAATAACTTTACTAATTTATATAGTAATTAGTATATATAGCTGTTTTCTAACTTAAACACACTAAAACTTATTTGTTAATAAAGTATATAGTATTTAAGTAATTACTAATTTTATCTAATCTCTATAATAATATTTACTATTAGCTATGTGTTACGAACGGTAATAGTAAGATAACTATACCTAAAAAGCTAAGAGAATTAGTAATAACGGCTAAGAAAGCTTTAGAATAGAAATATATATTTAAGCTTAAGTGGAAGAATTGTAAGAGAATATAGGACATATTAGTACAAGCTAAGACACAAGCTAAGAAATAAAAACAGAAATATAAAACTATATTAATAGATTAGAAGTAGTAGCTTACGTGACTAAAATAAGGCTTAGCAGCTAAAAGAGATAAAAAAGCTAAAAAACTTTAAACACTTCTATTTTTTTAAATAGTATCTAATATACTGAACACTGGTACAGAATGTACGCACGGAGGATCTACTGTAAGTATAAAGTAATAAACAGTTTATAATTACTTTTAATTTTTTATAGTTACTCTAAAATTAAGATCTTATCTTTAAGTTAAGATTTAAACTTGAGTGAAATAGTTTAACACTATCTTATTAAATCTATTATATATTTTTCTTTTTATCTTATAATAAAGCATAAACTCTTATCTATTAAACTTAAGGCTATCTATTCTAGATATAGAAAGAACTAAGATTTTATTAGAATATTAATTAAAGTAAAGTCACTAACGTGAAACGTACTATTAAGTAAAGGTAACTTATAATATTATAACTACCCTTTCAAAATATAAAAGAGGACGTTGGATTAATTCTAATAATAAATTTCTAATTATAGTTTATAATAACCTACTATAAGGACGAACAGGAACTTTATTTATTAAAAGAGAATAATAGTAAAAAAGAAGTTATAATAGAACCTTTATCTACTACTAAAAGTATATTAGAAGAAAGTAAGAGTACATAATAAATTATTTAAAAATAAGAAATAGCTATTATAAAGTTACGTAACACTTTAGTCAACCTATAATAATAAGTAGTAGTAAGTAAAACTAGTAGAAAAAAAATAATAAAAATATAATCTTCTATAAAGTTTAACAGTAATAGAGATAAACTTAGAACTTTTATAGCTATAATAAACCTCTACTATTAGTTTAATTAATTCTTATTTATAACTAACTAAGATCGGATTCTGGCAGCTGGTATGAATATAATAGGAAAAACTATAAAATAGTTTAAACTACTTATAAAGAATTATCTAGCTAAAGGAGATTCTAATCTAAGATTAGCAGAACTTATAAACTATAATAATAATATTAAAAGAACCTTTAAAAATTATAAGAGCTTTAAGAAGGAAATGATTATAGTCTTTAAAAAAATTAATAAAGAAATAAAAGTAATTTAGAAGCTTTAATAACTTAAATAGTGCACATTAGCAGCTAACTATACGGCAGAATTTAAGTAAATCTAATTTTAACTAAATTAAGTAAATTAATTTCTAGTTATAATATACTACGCGGGACTAAAAGATAGGATTAAGAATAAAATTTTCTAAGAAAAACAACCTAGCACACTTCTGGGAATTATTAAACAAGTAGTAACTATTAATAACTATTAGTATTAAAAAAAATAGAAAAAGAAAAATAATAC